CCTATTGCTATCTAGAAAAAAATATAAATTGCACACTTTCATCTTCCAAAATCATTAGTTACTATTGTCCCAATATTTTTCGACCCTGTACCTATTTCAGAGACCTTAAACGACAACAATTTCAGTACCCCAACGGGAATCGGGCGGAACCTAAGAGGAACAATCATGAGTGGTGTCCCCTGCGAACAAATATAACGCGATTAACTACTACGAATCCTGTGATAGTACTATGTATTGGGACTGTAAGGTATTTAAGGAATCTCTTAATGTGATTTTTAAAGGCACTTTGTCACTATGAATATATTCCAATGACTCCAACTTTGATGAACTTTGCACTTGGGCGTTGTGACGAAATCAGGGCGTCTAGATCTGATTGCCCTATGTACTGGGGCACTGAGTGGAACTGTCGGGCCATGAATCTGTGAAGGCCCGATGTCTGTGACACTGAGGAACTGTCGGGCCATGCCACTGTGATGGCCCTATATCTGGGACACTGAGGAACTGTTGGGCCATGACACCGTGATGGCCCAATGTCTGGAACACTGTGAGGAACTGTCGGGCCAAGAAACTGTGACGCCCTATGTCTGGGACACTGCGAGGAACTGTTGGGCCATGACACTGTGGTGGCCCTATACCTGGGACACTGCGAGGAACTGTCGGGCCATGAAACTGTGACGCCCTATGTCTGGGACACTGCGAGGACCTGTCGGGCCATGAAACTGCGATGGCCCTATGCCTGGGACACTGCGAGGAACTGTCGGGCCACGACACTGTGCTAACCCTATGTCTGGGACACTGTGAGGAACTGTCGGGCCATGGAACTGTGATGGCCCTAGGTCTTGGATACTGTGAGAACCTGTCAGGCCATGCAACTGTTATGAACCTACATGTATAAACCGGAATATTATGATATGTGGAACAGTGTTAGACTTGAACTGTAATGATCATTGGTACCGGAACACCACGTGTTTCTTTCACGAATACAACGCTGGCCGCTTTCCACCATAAATTATCATTTACAGAAAACTGAGTAAGAACAAAAGATGGTAATTTATGCTTACGGCTGCTACTGTTGCATAATGTGGCTTTATGTAATCATCCAAGACCTCAACTGTCACGCCCTGCCAACAGGTGGTATCTGTACTGACGGTGACAAGATGTCATCGTAACAGAAAGCTTGTTGAACTCTTTCTACGGGAATGAGGCAATTTATTCATTTCAACAAACTTCATTTAAAGGTGATAGAGAGCAGGTAATACTTATGCAAGTCTCTCTTTCCCTCAATTTCCAACCCGTCATATATATTAAAACCATATTCTAGCATTTTTATTGGCTGCTAATTGTGGAATAGCACGCCTGCGTTCATGTTTCAAGTGTACTTTCACCAACTGTGATGTCACATGGAAGAACATGAAGACGTCACAAGAAGGCAGTTATATTTTACCGGAAGCAAACATCGGCTTATATCCAGAAAACTCGTACCTATGTATTTTCAATAAAATCAATAAGCAACACATTACGTTAATACCGGCGACATACAAGTGTCATCAATGGCACATGCCTTACCTACCGGAAGTAGTCGTTTGCTATTATTCGCAAGAGTTACACCGGAATCATGCATTTGTGGTAGTTCGATGTCATATTACATAGATAACAGAGACACACGTGCTATCATTTGTTCGGTAAGACATTACGAACTTGTCCGATCTACACGTTTTTTTCATCCAGCATTTATCAAATAACTTTATTACCGGAAGTACATAAGCTATCATAAAGTCATATAAAATACACACCGGAAGTACACGTGTTTTGATCAGTTTAGTATCATTTCATTTATTTATCGTAGGAACACGTGTGTTACTATTTGTCGCTTATCACGCAATGCACTAGGCGGAAGTGCGTGTGTTTTGATTTAGTCACTATCACAATATGTCCCACAAAACTACACTGTTATATTTACCGGAAGTGCACAAGTTATCACTCTTTTATCACTGTCTGTGTTACATAACGTACATACCGGAAACAGATTGTATTATATGTCAGCAACACATAATCAAATTACCGGAAGTGGAAGTAACCATGATTTTTGTCCGGTCAATATTGCATTACGTTACATAACACCGGAAGTGCACTGTAATATTATCTCATCAGTATAACACAATGTACTTACCGGAAGAACTGATGATATCATCCAGTCACTATCACATCACCTACTTACAGGAAAACACGTGTTATCTGCCGGTCAGCATGACTTACGTACTTAGTGCATCTGTACATGTGTTTTCATCAGTCTTTTATCACATTTGAAGTATCGAAAATTTTCACTCAATAATAAAAACACACTGCAATAAAGTTGTGTAATTTAATACCTGTTATTAATATATGTAGATTAACAAATCTGCATATTCGACTTTCATTATTCACCAAATGCACTTAAAATTGACATTGATAAGTACAATTATGTTCTATGTATGATAATAAACTATGCGTTGCGTGTCATGTTATAAATGACGACATATGCTAATTGAAATCAGTGATCAAGTGCGTACAAATGTTCCATTAACCTTCATAGAAAGCAGTTTGTCCATCAAACGTCAACGCCCGAATAATTGAAGAGAAGGAAAAGCAGTACGGAAAATTCTCCAACGACGTAATGCTATTACTGAAATATGTAATTACAGACTTGTCTGTAAAACTAAAACAATATAATGACGATGTCAAATTTAAATCGCAGATGCTTAAATAAGACAGAAATATAAAATGTTACACTGTTATTATCTTTCCGGTCGAATAGGACTGTTAATAGTTTGCTGTTTTGTAGTTGAAAATCAGCAGTATTAAAAATGAAATATGAATTTGTTGTGCCTTTTTATGTGTACATGCTAATTGATTTCATTTCTTAAAATCTGAAGCCAGTGTTGTATAAGAAAGAGATTGTTATACATGTGTAATTATTTCTATGTCAAAACACGTGTTAGTCCAAGAACAGTATACACCCTTGGGCCTTCGGGACTTGAGACCTTCGGGCTTTACGAGGCTCTGAGCGATGTCACTTTCTGATGAGAGGAAATACAATGTAAATCTTGAAGACATACTTGTCATAAGGCCATTTAAAATAACAAAAGATGAACTGATGCTGCGAAGAAAAGGTAAAAGAACAGCAGCGAAGAAGGCAACGGAAACGTGGCGCCACGTGCATGCATTCCGATTTTCATATCATTGAAATAGCTTCTAAATCTAGAACAACCTACTCCTAGCCTGCTGTTGTTTAATACATTGCTAGCTAGATACAGTGTTTAAACAGAAAGCAGTAATAGAAAGGGAGAAGTCGAGAAGACCGGAAAGCATGCCCTTATAATCGTCCATTTCGTCCTTGCCGCTATTGTCGTCTTGCGTTGATACCTCTATAGGTAACCTACCTGTCCTGAAAATAGTGACGTCACCACGGAAGCCTGTGTCTTACAGCGACGAATTAATGAGTCATTAGATATGCAAATTAATGTACGAACTAGTTTACCTCAATCACGTGACAAAAGGTCACTTTGAAGTTGTTCTTCCGTGCGCCCACGTATAGTTTAAAGTCACTTGATTCAAAATAGAGTAAAATGTAATTCAATGATAACTCTCACAAGGTTAATAGCAAGGTCTTTCTTAGGTCAAATCGCACGTGTTGTATGTGACGCTGTACACATTTTATAGGTGAAACTAGGCGTTGCGACTTCAGAAAATATTAATTGTATGAAATAGTAAAATGTTCAGTTATATCACAAACATAAGTAATGGATCGTAAGACCATTGGGGAGGGTGGTTTAATTTCCCTGAGTTTGGGTTAAGGGGTGGGGTCGTAAAAGAAGATAGATATCCTAATTTATGAAGATCTGCCACCTGTGCGTCCGCATGCACTTACGGCGTTTGATAGACGACTTAATACCACTCAGGAACATTAGACCTGTCTCGTTGTATATCACCTCCAACCAATGATGAGTGGCATAATTTATAGCTCTGGGGAGTCTTATTGATAAATTATATCTAGGGCCATGATAACACCGGTCCAAATAGAGGATATGCAACGTTACACTGCGGACTTAACTGGCTTCCAGCCGATTATATTTCGTAAAGAATTTTCTAGATGCGTTTTTTTTCACTAATCTCCCTCTAGTTCTTAAATTCGGAACTTCTGGAATCAGGCATACAAGTGTTTTTTGTCATTAGTTTGTTCCCCTGATTAATTCAATATTATAGAAAGTGGGACCAGTCTAAGCGACTTGTAATGTCTTCACCTCTACAATCGTAAAGTAGGTCGTGAATGATTCCTGAATACTAGCAATACCCGGTCACTGTATCGTATGCAAACTAAATAATCTAAGTCCTGTTAGCCTTCTCAGTCACATATGATATCGAGTTTAAACAGATATGATTCCTTATATCCGAAGTATAGACACTTTGAAATCTTTCTTTATTTCAGGATCGAGATATCTTGAAAGCACCAATGCAGATGCAAATCTCCATCGAGTCTTGCGATGGCACTTGGCATGCGCACGTCCTTTGGGTGACATTGCGTCTGCAGGTTTCACAATTTTAAGTAAAACGTATAAAAATCAGTAAATCCCACGGACAGCCCCTACATATAATCTCGTCTGACATATAATAGCAAATACTTTTTTCCTTTAAATTTAAGTTGTTTTTCTGATTCTCTACCTTTTGAGATCGTTTACCGAATATGCTTCTTGGTGATCATTACATTTCTAATGCCAGACCTTTTTTCCGCAAAATACTATGGTCAGTTATACAATACTTGTAGTCAAATAGTTCCATATTAAGTTCAGATTGAATTTTTTGATGAAATGTGTCGTTTTGGCCATGATTAAATAATAAGATGGCTTAATCTACATGTTATTTCTTAACCCCCGATGCCGATAGCTGAATTTGTTGGTTTGCTTTTCGGGGAAGAAAATGTATGGACATACACATAGCATTCAACATATGATTAAATAACTTACCTGTAGTATATATCCTGGTTTTTTACACAATGCAGGTAGATTTCCCTGTTTTTCCTCCCTTTTCACACTAGCAGACGACAGGTGTCGTATCGGCTTGTGACGCTCGGAGCGCCACCTGACAAAGAGAGTTTGAGAGGGACGCGAACTACTTTTGTTTCATTCATCCGCACGCTTCAGTAAGCACACCTCATGACGTAGACGTAATGTAGTGAGACTTTTTCCGGCTGTCACCACCTATCCAGGCCCCGTGTCATTTACAACATTTACAGACGGTCAAACGATGTACGGTGTGGTGAAAGGACATATATTTTACTGTATGTAAACGAGTGAGTGATGCATATTTATATACATTATTTTATAAATTGTGTGGATGATCTGACGGCGAACATTACATATGGTATTCGACACAGAGAGGTAATTGTTCTGACAAGGACACATTGATGGGTGTCACTTGATATGCGTGATTACGTCAAACTATAAAATTGTCAGCGTCTGAGTGTAGTAGACTTGCATAAGTCCAAAAGACTGAACTATTCAGTTAAAAACATTTAATAGCATACAATGTACGAAGTCTTTGCAATTATTGACCAACATCACAAATGCAGAACTTAATATATTATGGGTCACGTGGATTTGGACGGTATTTGTTAATGACGGTATATAAAATAACTCGGTTTATGAGGAAGGCAGTTGTATTGTTAATAAAAAGTAAATGGGATACTAAATGGCAGCATGATTATCATCGTGATGACGTAACTATTCTAACAGCTTAGGGTTTAAGTGTTTTGTTTAAGTTTATAATTTGTATATATGCATACAAAGTATTACGCATTTTGTATGTGCTTATATAAGCTGACGGAAAATAATAATTTTATGGAATTAAATATCCGTTGGTCAACATACAATGAAGCATCAAGTGGTAATGGAAGTGTTGTAGCGGTATAAGTGATTGGGGCTGGGGTGGTGGCGGTGGGAATGGCGACTGCGACATTCGCATCTTGGGTGGGGAGGGGGTTGCGGCGAGGGTTCTGGTGACGATGACGGCGGAAGTGACGTTGGTGGCAGCAGTACCAGTAGTAGTAGCTGTAGTACAGAAGGAGAGGACATGTGGTTTTATTTGGGTGGGAATATGGAAGCGGCGATATTATTGGTTGCGATTACGGCGGAAGTGACGTTGGTGGTAGCAATACCAGTATAGTAGTAGTAGTAGTAGTAGTAGTAGTAGCAGCAGTAGTACAGAAGGAGAGGACATGGCAGCGGCGATATTATTGGTGGCGATTACGGCGGAAGTGACGTTGGTGGTAGCAATACCAGTATAGTAGTAGTAGTAGTAGTAGTAGCAGTAGTACAGAGGGAGGGGACATGGAAGCGGCGATATTATTGGTGGCGATTACGGCGGAAGTGACGTTGGTGGCAGCAGAACCAGTAGTAGTAGTAGTAGTAGTAGTAGTAGTAGTAGCAGCAGTAGTACAGAAGGAGAGGACATGGAAGCGGCGATATTATTGGTGGCGATTACGGCGGAAGTGACGTTGGTGGCAGCAGTACCAGAAGTAGTAGTAGTAGCAGCAGTAGTACAGAAGGAGAGGACATGGAAACGGCGATATCATTGGTGGCGATTACGGCGGAAGTGACGTTGGTGGCAGCAGTACCAGTAGTAGTAGTAGTAAAAATAGCAGTATTAGAGACGTAGAGGACATGTGAACACTGTACTAGTATTACTGGGGTGGGGATACGAAAGCAGTGATAGTACACGTGTGTGTATTGGTGGTGGTGTTAGTGGCGACAGGAGTCACAGCAGCAGCATGCAGCAGTAGACCGGCCCTTTCTCTAGAATATTGAATTATGTAGAAAAAATAAACCCTAACAATTTTGATCACTTTGGTGTCTGATCCTAATTTCTAAAACTAGGGGGGAGATAAGCTAGTAGTAAAATGCAGCAGGGAAATTCTTCATAAAAACGAAGGGTCGGGAAGAAGTTTATATTTAACTGTGGCTGTGACGTCATTATCATGTACAGAAGTTATTATTACACTTAAGATGTGACCTTACTGTCACATATGGTAATAGGGATTATTCATTTATTTTCAACATACATCTTTCTTTTAAAAAATAAATAAATAAAAAAGTTAGATAATAATTGAATGCCCCACAACTGGACATGTGAAAAATACATGTATCGTAAGCCCGATTATGACACATATATTCCTAAGATTTATTTCCATTGAGGTTTGCTATTATATATAAGATTACAAATAATCTTTTCTTATAATGATTCTGATCCCGGAACCTTAACTTTTTGCAAAACAAATAATAATGATTTGTCTGACCCAATTAACTAAAACCCATATATCTTGCTTATTTTACAAAAAAAACGAAACAAGTTCTTCAACTTATATGAATCGATCTAAGTTGCCCGGATGGAGACGCGCAGGGGGTGGTAAACCAGCGAAAACCAAACTAACTATCGGACAAGAGGAAAATGTCACAGCCAGGAGTAGAGGCTATACATAAATAATACCCGTGTAAACACTGTTGACGATTCTCATCAGACTTCAGTCGAAGATCAGACAGTTTTAGGCCCAGTAAAACTTCTGTGCTGAAATTGAACTTGGTTGATTAAAAGCTTGTCAGAAGACAAGAGGGAAACAAAGTCCCACTTTCTAGTGTATGGTTAGCTTCACGTAATAGCGACAATGCTGCTGATTTCTTGAACTAAACTAAGAAGTCAACGATTTTTTATGTGACAATAGTACTAAATTTCTCCTGTGATATACCTGACTTGATTGTATTGGCCCGTATCACTATCAATATAGGTTAATGATACTTCGATATCATCACGTTTTGTCACCATTATGCAGGCTTAAAAATATCTACGATTCTGTGCGCAACTTGTTAAGTTGACAAATATATGATAAATGTCCTACAAACGGGACAGGCCCTCCATATCATTTCGGTAGATCAGGGACAGTATATACGTCCCTGGGTAGATGAAATATAGCTTTGCAGCAGTGCCCTACATGTATCTTATAGTGTGGTAGCGCTGTGTACGACTTCCTCCACCATAAATAGTCTGGTATACAGTAAGACAACGGGTGATCACTGAGACTTGATACTTCGGTATCCACTCATGCTTGTCTTCTCCAAATGCCTTTTGTAGTCAATTATATTTGTAGTCAATTATACTAGTTTTATCATTTAGTGATATTTTGCTTTCCAACGTCATTGCCTGGATTACGTCGCCCCCTCACCGCCAGCGGCCCCAACGCCGCCACTCCCCCCTCCCCCCACCCTCCTTCCCCCCATCCCACCCCTGCTAGGTTTCGCTCAAGTGATAGTGGTTTATTTTCAAATTAGGAAGCCTAGCAGTGACCTAGCAACAGATGGCAGTGACCTAGCAACAGATGTACGACAATTTACAGTAACCAGGTTAGCTGAGGTGACAATCTCACTGGTGACAGGGAGGAATCTTTTAAACAGACTATATCCACAGAAAACTGTCAAGGGGGAAACACTAATGATTCTTTGTACATTCGTTAGTTTTGATTGTTTGTGTTTTACGTCCTATTAACAGCTATGGTCATTTAAGGACGTGCCAGATTTTGGTGGTGGAGGAAAGTCGGAGTTCCCGGAGAAAACCACCGACTTACGGCCAGTATCTGGCGACTGCCCCCGGCCACGTAGGCCTCGAACCCGAGACCCTGTCCATGGAGGGCTAGTGGTAGCAGAATGTCAGAAGCCACCGCAGCCCGCACTCGTTAGTTTATCATAGGATTTTATTTCTTTTATGATTTGTCTTCTATTAAAAAATGTATCAATTTACATTTAGCATCCATGAAATTGACCATTCATATTACTTATCCAAGTAACGACAAATTCAAAATTGTTTGAGAACATTATTTTATGCTTACTCATTTTACCACGTCTGCGATGCAACTAAAATTCTTAGTGATTCGAAATTGTGTTCTATCGGACGAAACTGTATGCACTTACCCTTTTTATTTCCCAATTAACCATACACATGTACATGCATATGTACAACCCTCTTCCATAGTCCTCCCAGTATCAAATATAAATAAGCGAGAGGTGGGATTGTTTATTTATTTTTTTCTCTTGTTACTCTCAACCATTAAACACTTATCATATCTGATGATTATTACGTAGATAACGACAGGGATACAAAATTTGTCTAAGAAGACATTATCAAATGAATAAATGTGTTCAAATTTAGCACATAATGTACCGTGTTATCCAGCAAATATACCCATTTCATATTTTTTTGCGCATTAACCTTTGTAATATGTCCTATCGCCCATGTGATTAGTTGCAAGTTTTAATTGTTTCAATTGTGACGTCACGCTTAGGACAAGTACAAGACGTCACAGACTTAAGCACTGTAATCAAAATGGCGTCTTTTTACATTTCAAGGTGGCAAGAAAATTGTCGTTTTACACGAATTCAATTCACAAATCTTGATTACGTGATGAAAATAATCTGACACTCGTTTTTATTTCATATGACCACGGACTAAGATAACAATCTAATTCCGTGATATGACATTTGTGAAACTCGTCACGATTTGTCAGAATGAGCGATATGTTGAAAACAGTAAATATGTATTAAGATTTTTTTCAATATCTTAATAATTATTTTATCAATGCATTAATTTTGATATATATATCTGCATAAATCTCAAAATAAGATATAATCATGTCAGTAAAACATAGCAGAGTTTCGTGAATAAAAATCTCATCCTAAATATGTTTAAATACGTTTAATAAAATGTATTATCATATCTCTAAAGATGACTCATAAAGATCATATGAAGATTTAATTTCAATAAGGATATTAATTGAAGTATCACTGGGAAATTATAACAGAAACAATTCACCACAAAACCCGTCTTGTATTAGGATCCTTATTTTCTTTAAAATAGAATACAATAACAAACATTATTATTCAAAATACAAGGATGAAAAAACAAATATTTAATCGAGGTTTTCAAAAAATATTTTTTGATATCAAATTTTGTAACGCTGTGCTTTCTAGGGGCTGTTCTGACTTATATTCTAACACGATTCGTTTGCAACACGTGTTTTGATTGGATATGGACCATGTTCTAATCTGCGATAGAATCATGATCAGTCGTGTTAA